GCTTGCGAGCTAACACCTCTTTCAAGTACATCTACACTCACAGCCAGGTATAGGAAGCATTGTAAAATGACATATTGAAAACCAAAACAGAGTGACTATATTCTGGATGGGGTATTCTGCAAAGGGAGAGGAATGCTCCCTGTGAACCTGGAGATCCCATTCAGATCCCATAGCTGCTCTCCATGGATATACATCTGCTCAACCCTCTTTTAAGGCCATCTACACTAAGCACTTCCCAACTGCTGGTTTTCCAAGGAGGTCTCCCATCCAAGTACTTGCCAGAGTTGACCCTGCTTAGCTTTGGAGATCTGACGAAAGCGGGCTCGCCTGGGCTACCCAGGTCAGGACAGTAGGGAGCTTTTCTAAGCCCTTGCTCTCCCTTATTTACAGCTCACCCTCTTTAATTTGCCTCAAACAGCCCAGTTAGCTTTAGCTCCAGGTAGCTGCTTAGGAATCAAGCCTCTGCAACTTCTTTCACTGATTTTCTTGGACAGAAACAGAAGCCAGACATTACAGAGGGTAGGTCCCAAAATGGGACACAGAGGATAGGCTTTAAAGAATATAGGATAGGCCAAAAAAAAAAGGATGTCTGTCCTCTAAAATAGAGGACAGCTGGCCACCCTAACTGGAGCCCAGTTTAAACAAGACACTGCGACTGTGCAAAGTGGTACACGGTAACTCTTTGCCTCTAGGTGGGAGTTCTGGAATTATAACTGATCTCCAGACTAGAGCTCAGTTCCCTTGGAGGCAGCATTGCTAGGGTTGCCAACCTCCAGGTGGCACCTGGAGATATCCCGCTATTACACTTGATCTCCAGACAACCAAGATCAGTTTCCCTGGAGAAAATGGCTGCTCTGGAGGATGGATTCTATAGCATTATATCCTGGTAAGGTCCCTCCCCTCTCCACCCCCCAAATCCCGAGGTATTTCCCAACACAGAGTTGGCAACCCCAAGCATTGCCAAAGCTGGGTTGGGAAATTCCTGGAGATCTGGGAGTGGAGTCTGGGGCGGGAAGGGTCTGGGGACTGGAAAGACCTCAGCAGGGTACAATGGTTCACCCTCCAAAGCAGCCATTTTGTCCTGGGGAGCTGATCTCTGTCGTGTGGAGACCAGGTGTAGCTCTGGGAGACTTCCAGGCACCATTTGGAAGTTGGCAATCTTACCTGGACGGAGTGGCCCCTTTGGAGGCCCATCTCTATGGTATACCACAGATTCTAGGTGAAATCCTTTCCCACACTCCCCCCTACATATGCATCACTCCCAAATCTCCAGGAATTTCCATGGCAAAATTGGGCAACCTTATACCAGCATCGTGCTTACATTAGGCCACCCTGAGTCATACACATAATACCTGCTGAAATTGGTTGGAACACTGACCTGCCTTCAGAAAGTTGAGTTCATTGCAGCTGAAAAGAAAATCTAAAATCTGCTGTATTCCTGTGGGTAGCTGTTTTGGTCTTAAGCAATAGAGCAAAGTTTGAGTCAAATGGTACCTTTAGGACCAACAAAGTTTAATTTGTGTGTGCACATGAAAACTTATATCCAGAATTAAACTTTGTTGGTCTTAATGGTGCCACCGGATTCAAACTTTGTTCTAAAATGTGCTAGGCTTTTGAGGAATCCACAGGACACTATGTACCCTTGTGCTGTGTGCATTCTGACACCAAACCATCCGCTGTCTCTGCTGCGCGTGTGCAGTTGTAACCTTCTTGCACTAACATCTGTATTTGGGCAGTATTTTAACCCTTTCATGCCAAGCCACATGTCATTTGTGTGAGCAAAATACAAACATATGGAAGACCCAGCTGTTGAGGTGCTTAATTTGGGTTGAAGCTTTTAAAGTTGGCTGCAGCTGCAATCCTAAACACTCTTACTATAGACTTACTCTGACTGTGCTCAGTGAGACTGGCTGCGAAGTAAACCTGCCACTCCTTTCTCACTGTCTGTCTTTAAAGAAAGGATTTCCAAAATGCTCGAAGAAACATATGGGCAGGACGATGGTTTCCCAGATGTCAAGTTCCTGCCCATTTGTTTCTGATTTCTCTCACAATAAATATTAAAATTCAGTGTAATCTGGTGCTGGTGGAAAAAATATAGCCCCAGGATAGAAGAGGCTGGACTTTTATTGTCTTCCCATTGTGGAAAGCTGCTGGAACTGCAGGAAAATAAATTGCTGTGTTTGATCTCAAAGTGGTGAAACAGAGAGAGAGAGAGAGAGAGAGAATCCAAAATGACTTTGCTAATACCTTTTCATCTGGCTGAATTAGGAGAGCATGGCTGATGAACAGTGTTTTGGATAAAAGTCTTTGCTGTTTTCTCCCCAAGTCCTTTTGCCTTGTTGTTGTTTAAGAGCTTACTCTTGTCTGTTTGCCAGAGGGCCATTTTAAGGGCTGCTTTCTAAACAGGGCTGTGCTTTGAAAGGACACGGTGCTTTCCTCCAGGATCAGGAGTGCTGATGGTATGAAAGCAGACAGTGCTGTCTGGAGCCTGGGTCCTTCCTACAAGATGGACAAGAGAGGTCAAAGGAGACAGCATATGAGGTCAAAGTAACCACTGGTCCATCTGGCGGTGGAAGCACTGTCAAATTGCAGCCAACTCATGGCAACCCCATAGAGTTTTGAAGGCAGGCGATGTTCAGAAGTTGTTTCCCTCTGCGTCACAACTCTGGACTTCCTTGGAGGTTTCCCATCCAAATACTAACCAGGACTGACCCTGCTTAGCTTCTGAGATCTGACGAAATCAGACTAGCCTGGGCTATCCAGGTCATCTAGCTCAGTCATAAGAACATAAGAGAAGCCAATGTTGGATCAAGCCAATGGCCCATCTAGTCCAACACTCTGTCACACAGTGGCCAGAAATACCAGGTGCCATCAGCAGGTCCATCAGTGGGGCCAGGACAATAGAAGCCATCCCACTGTTGCCCCCCCAAGCACCAAGAATACAGTGCATCACCTGCCCCAACCTGAGCTAATAGCCACTGATGGACCTCTGCTCCATATGTTTACCCAGTTCCCTCTTGAAGCTGTCCATGCTTGTAGCCACCACCACCTCCTGTGGCAGTGAATTCCATGTGTTAATCACTCTTTGGGTGAAGAAGTACTTCCTTTTATCTGTTCTAACCCGACTGCTCAGCAATTTCATAGAGTGCCCACGATTGCTTGTATTGTGAGAAAGGGAGAAAAGTATTTCTTTCTCGACCTGCTCTATGTAGCCCAATATTTTCTACTCTTCAAGGTCTCAGATGCAGAAAAGACCTTCCCACCACCTGCTACTTGATATCCTTTAACTGGAGATGCCAGGAGTTGAATCCTGAACCACCTGCATGCAGAGCCATAACTCTGACCCTAAAGATGGTGCAGTCACATTGGTTGTTCACGTATCCAAGGGTGCAGAGGGGAAGCCCTGTCCTACCATGTCTCATTCAGGTTGAAATAAGGGACAGGATGGATTCATAATCAGAAAGCAAAGCTAAGCAAAATTCCAAGAAGGATACTAGGGCGAAGAAGAAGCCGAAAAAAGATCTGTCAAAATGTAGGATATGGCAAGATGTTGGGTTTGGGGACAGTTTTTAAAAATCCCTGTGTATGAAACATGCATAATGTATGAAATATGAAGCATGGTGTACATGTGTACTGTATATGCCTAAAACACATGTGCAATCCCTGTCTACAAAACCAGCTGGCATCCTGTCTGTCTTATCTATGCTCTGTACTTAGCCTGTCTAGCTTATTTTTTCTATATATCCACCATGTCTAACTTATCCGCTCTATCTATCTAGCCAACCTACCTATCTTTAGTTCCTCAGCCTCCTCTAGAGTGTAAACAAGATAGAACATCTACGAAAAGCTAAGTCATCTTTGACAACAATAAAGGGGATTTTCAGATTCTGCTTGGCTTTGAGTACATTTGAAGCACAAAACACATTTGCTCCATTCTCCTGTCTACATCTGAGCAGATATACAACATACCTTTTGTTGGGACAAGAGCTGAAAAAGAACAGCTGTTTTTGTTCATTCTGTGGTTGTGTTTAAGGGAAGGCCTTCCTATAGCTGGTGAAAGATTAGGCCTTGAGAGACAGTGATCTTCCAAAAATCCCACGTCAGACACATTTGCAGCTGTTATCGATATAAAACCTTCCTCTCTCCTCTTGAAGGAGCTGGGCGTACCATTAGCTCACCTGTTTAACCAAACAGGTCTCTCTCTTAACAAGCGCAAGTAATTATGGGGCCTCCTGTCCCCGCTCTCACTCCATCAGAATTAATCTGCTGTGACTTGGAGCTCCATGGTTATAATGCAAAGGTCCCTCGAGTTAGCAGGAAGCAGCCGTTAGGATACCAAGTCAGACAAAAATAATAATAAGGTAAACCTGTTTTAAGAGGATGTTTTCTTCACCCACTATAGCAAATAGCTGTATCCTGGCTAGCGTTGCCAACTTGAGGTTGGGACATTCCTGGAGGCTTGGGGGTGGAGTCTGGGGAGGGTGGGGAGAGGAAGGACTGCAGCAGGCTACAGGCCTAGAGTTCACCTTCCAGAAGGGCCATTTTCTCCAGGAGAGCTGATCTCCGTACTGTGGAGATCAGTTGTAATTCTGGGAGATCTCAAGGCACCATCTGGAAGTTGGCAAACCCGCGGACTCACTTGTGCATAAAGATGCTGCAGAGATCTGAATGACCCATTCTTGCTTCCAAAACAGAGTCAACGCATGGCCCCATCGTTTATTTCCAGATTCTGCATATAACATAAGGTGGCCAGCTGCCTGGAGAAAACAAATGTCCTGTCCCTTTGAGCTTTGGTGAAATGTACGTTGTTTACCTCCGTGCCACGAACTGAAGGAGAAGTTGGCAGGACCCAAGCGCTATGTTTCCTCACGTCTTTTCACATCTTATTATCCAACTGCAAACTGATCACCTTCTGACTGCACCGCTGCCCTGTTTCCGGAGGTCATAATATTAGTTTCACAGAGAAGTAACTCAGCCTGTTTTCGTTTTAACTGTTGCAGGGACAGCGAGCTGGTCGGGAAGCAGAAGAAAGCAGCCCCATTTCCATTCCAAGCTGGCTCTTTTCATTTCCCCTTGAAAGGAACCACACCGGTATCTGCAAGAACATCCTAAAGGAACTGAACCTCAGCATGGGCCTCGCCACATGGGTTTTGGCCTCGGTGGTCCTCTCTCTGTTCCATCAGCATGTCAGTGGCGGACTCATCAAGAAAATTATTCGGCAGAGGAGAGAGGCAGGGATCAATGTCACTTTGCCCGAGGACAACCAGCCTGTGGTCTTTAACCACGTCTACAACATTAAAGTCCCTGTCGGGTCTCTTTGTTCCGTGGACTTGGAGTCAGCCAGTGGGGACTCGGAGCTCAAACCTCACATCGAACCCAGCCAACATTATCAGGAGCACACGGTGAACGAAGAAAACCAGATTGTCTTCACACACAAGATCAACATCCCGCGGCGAGCCTGTGGCTGTGCAGCCAGCCCCGATATCAAGGATCTCTTAACCCGACTTGAGGAACTGGAGGGGCTGGTCTCCTCTCTACGAGATCAATGTGCCAGTGGGGTTGGCTGCTGCCCCAGTGGGCAACCTGTGGAAGGTAAGGTAACCTTGAGCAAGCCAACAGGCCTGGTGGGGGGGGAATGTCTTGTCCCTTGAACAGAAGATTAAGTTGTGAAAATGGACAGATGAAGCTTTTCATGTAGGGGTGACAGGTCCCTCCTGGAAACCAATGGGGGTTGGGGGTGGGGTGGCGCCTTACCTGGAGAAAGAAAGGCCTAGGCCTCATCACTGGCATTGCACAGGAAGTGACGTCTGTTGGCAGAGTTTAAATATGCAAAGGAAGTGGAGCACTGGCTGTTTAGAGAAAAAAATAAGTAGGTTACTTAAAGAAGAACAAACTGTTACAGTACATAGAGAGAGAGAGCCTAACTATTTAACCTAACTGCTGAAGGAGGCACAACAACAACAGAAGCTGTGCAGGAGAAGGAAGTCTCCAGAACAGCCAATCAGGAGACAGGAGGGGATCATTTGAAAATACCAGGAAGTCCTTAATCTGACTATTCTAGCTACTTACTCCCTCCAATGCCCCCTGTAGGATATTCTTCTTATCCTTCTTGCTTCATACACACAGCAGATCTTGTATATTCTAACAACATCATCACACCAACGACATTCAGACAATGCTCTGGTATTTGGGCAAAAACTATAATAAAGCTGGTTTCTACCATCGAGGTTTTGCCCAAATATCAGAGCATCACCTGAACATCACTGCTGGTATGATGATTTCACTTCCTGTGCAACGCCAGCAGCAAGGCCTGGGCTTTTCTCTTCTCCTAGGGTTTCCAGCTCTCGGTTGGAAAATACCTGGAGACTTTGGGGGGGGGGGTGGATCCAGGAGAAGGTGGGGTTTGGGGAGGGAAGGGACCTCAGCATGGTTCATAGCCAAGGAGTCCACCCTTCAAAGCACCCATTTTCTCCAGGGGAGCTGATCTCTGTCAGCTGGAGATCAGCTGTAAAAGTGGGAAATCTCCAGGCCCCACCTAGAGGCTGGCAACCCTACTTTGTCCAGGTAAGTCCCGCCACCATCAGCTGATTGGCAGGTGGGGGCAGGGCCTGGTGGCAGAGGACCCCCTGCCTCCACCAGGGAGTCTGGCAACCCTGTTTCCATGGCATGCAGGTAAATAACATCCCTTAGTCCATCCCGTTTCACTACGCATTTGTTTGAGACAGGACATTTTTCTCCAGGCCTGTTGGCGCCCCTGCTCTCAGCCTAACTTAATTGTGTGTGTGTGTGGGGGGGTTCCTGTGAGCATAGAACAGAGGAAGGGAGAATTAACCTATACCACACTGAGCTCATTGGTGGAGAGGCAGGTAAAAAATGTGATAGGTACATAACTACAGTAGATGGATAACAAAAGCATTGAGGCATGATGAGGCAAAACTAATGGGTACAGACTGGGAAGAAGGTATTTTGTTTATCCTGTTTAATAATATATACCCCAGAGTCCAAATTCATGTTCAAAGGGGCCAACAACCAATTCTGAATGCTAAAGACATAAAACATTAAATATTTAAAAATCAATGCGGCATATCCTGCCTTTCTAAATCATTTTAATGGTCACTGAAGTTCCAGGGTGACTGGAATTTTTCTAGGCCGAAAATGTAGCCTGGCCTTTCAGGCCTGCTTCCAGGGTTACGAACTCCAGGTTGGAAAATTCATGGAGTTTTGGAAGTGGAGCCTAGTGAAGACAGAGTTTGTGTTGGGACTTTAGTAAGGTATAATGCCATAGAGGATGTCCTCCAAAGCAGTCATTTTCTCCAGGGGAACTAGCCTGGAGTTGGCAACCCTAGTATGTGATGAATAGTCCTTCTCTTCCAACCCATATGGATTGAGACATCCTCAGACACTGTATGGGTTAATTCCTGGTGGTGCAGATGAAATGCCAGTAGCGTAGCTACTACTCAATGTGGTATCATTAGCCCCTAGAGGTGTCTTGGGATTTGGGGTGCTAGAAACCTTGCAGCCTTAATACTATGGCACAATTACAGTGTATGTTCTTCAGCAATCCGTAGACACTGGGGCTGAAGCATTGAGAGGTGTAGAGTTGCCTTGGTATGAGGATAGGGGTCTTATATTTTTGGCCTATGTACTCTAGGTCCTTCTATTTACCAGGAACAGTCCCCCCCCCCCCCCCCCGAGAAGTCACTCTCCCAGTTTTGGCCTTTGGAGGAATTCCTTGTTAAAGTATGAAGCATTCATGCTGCTGTTCTTCAGGAATCAGCTTGCTCCCTGGGATGGTGAGAAGTTAAATTTCTTGGTGTGAGGGTGCGTGCATCTTGATTCCAGTATGTGTGTTTGTAAAAGCTTGTGCATGAGCACTAAGGCACCAGTGCTCACTCTGCCATTTCACACACTACAAGCATTGAGATGTGTAGGGCTGGCAGCTCCCGGGAGAGATGGTGGGCAGGGCTAGGTGTCACACGATGCTGCAATGTCACTATGCCAGTTCCAGTCTCATAACTGGAAATGACATCACATGTCACCGCAATGCTCTAGCAACCTACCAGATCTCTACGGGGGATTGCTGGGACATCACAGTGATGCATGATGTCACTTCCAGTCACGTGACTGGAAGTGACACTACAGAAATGCCACGATGGCTTCTCCCTCCCCCTCATTTTCTCCCACAGTGCACTGGGCAGCAGTGGGAAGCTTAAGTTCAGGTGCAGGAGTCTCCCACTCTAGTATACCTAGAGGTATATTCTGCACTGTTGGAAATATATTGTGGAGTAATCCTTAACTTACCTCCTTAGCTCTTACAGCAGGAAAGCACAGATGACTGCAGAATAAAAGAATGCAGCATATGGTAGACAGAGGAATGTGTACTCAGCAATGTACAATGGCAGGGGAACTCTGCTTGGTATAGGATGTTAGCCAGTGTGTCCCTATTTTCCCAAAAAAAAAATCAGGCTATGAACGGCTGGCTTTTATGGTTTTTAATAGCAGTTGGATACCCTGCAGGCATTAGCAGCTAGTAGTGCTTGAAAAGGTCATTTCTTCAAATCTTCCGTTAAAGGCACAGAAACAACAGGAGCAAGTTTGCCCTTGGGTCAGTTGGTGACTCTAGCACAGCTCTGCAAAATGGTGCATGCCTGATCTCGTCAGATCAGGAGAGCGAAGAAGGGCTGACCCTGACAAGTATTTGGATTAGGGTTGCCAGGTCCCCTCGCTGGTCCGGCAGGGGGATTTGGGGGGCATTCTGGGGGTGGACAGGGATGCCCCCAAGCCCCCAAGAGTGACCAGCTGCCCGGCCAATCCTCTCCCTTCCTCCTGCTAGATTTAAAGGGCCCTCCAGCGGGCCTCGTGGTCCCCGCTGATCAGCCGAAGCCCTTTACATCAGGCAGGAGGGGAAGGAGAGGGGTGGCCAGGAGGGTGGTCACTCTTGGGGGTGGGGCTTGGGGGCGGATTAGAGCCTCCAAAAGCAGGGAAATGCCCACTCAGACCTGGGGGACCTCCAGAGAATATCAGGGCCGGGAGGCAGAGGCAGGCTATCAAGCCACTTTTCTGAACGTCCTCCATGCCCTAGTAGGAATTGCCAGAAGTCACCATGACTTCCAGGCACAGGCACACACCCAAAAAAATTACCCCCCCCCCAAAAAAAGCCTGTAGTCATCACCACATCTGTGATGGCAAATTCCATTGTTAATTACACGTCGCATGAATAAATATGTTCTTTCGTTCGTGTTAAGACTTTTACCGATGGATTCCATTGGGTGAACCTGAACGTTTGAGTTTTGGGGGGGGGATTCTTTATCTACTTCTTCCACACCATATACAGTTTTATAAACCTCAGCCATATAAATGTTCTTTTGAGCTTTCTTATTGCTGATCTTTCAATGGGGATAACGCACCTCTTCATTTTCCTGGCCTAGGTCGCATCGACGCCACGCCCTACTGCAGTGGACGGGGGAATTACAGCAATGACATCTGCGGTTGCATTTGTGAACCTGGCTGGAAAGGACCCAACTGCTCTGAACCAGATTGCCCCCACAATTGCAACAACAAGGGGCGGTGTGTTAATGGCAAGTGCATCTGCGACGAAGGCTTCACTGGGGTGGACTGTGGACAGCTGACGTGTCCCGGGGACTGTAACGACCAAGGCAAATGTGTGGATGGCTGGTGTGTGTGCTTTGACGGCTATGCCGGTGAGGACTGTAGTCTTGAAGTATGCTTGGTGCCATGCAGCGAACACGGGAAGTGTGTCAATGGACAGTGCATATGCAAGGAAGGCTTTGGCGGGGCAGACTGCAGCGAGCCACTGTGCATGAACAACTGCAATAACCGGGGCCGCTGTGTGGAAGAGGAATGTGTGTGTGATGAAGGTTACACAGGTGAAGACTGCAGTGAGCTCATCTGCCCTAACGACTGTTACGACCGGGGCCGTTGTGTCAACGGCACTTGCTACTGCGACACCGGCTTCACTGGGGAGGATTGCGGGGATGTGGCTTGTCCCAACAATTGCCACAGTCAGGGCCGCTGTGACAACGGTGTGTGTGTCTGCTACGAAGGGTTTACAGGGGACGACTGCGGCCAGAGGAGGTGTCCCAAAGACTGCAACGAGCGCGGCCGTTGTATTAACGGGCAGTGCGTATGCAATGAGGGTTTCTTGGGCTTTGACTGTGGGGAGGTGAGGTGCCCCAATGACTGTAACAACCAGGGGCGCTGCGTCAACGGACAGTGTGTGTGCGAGGAAAAGTTCATGGGAAAGGACTGCAGCGAGCTGAGGTGTCCCAACGACTGTCGCAACAGGGGACGTTGTGTCAACGGGCAGTGTGAGTGTGACGAGGGGTTCATGGGAGAGGACTGTGGAGAACTGAAGTGCCCCAATGACTGTCACCATCGTGGGCGATGCCTCCATGGCCTGTGCCTCTGTGATGAGGGGTACACAGGGGAGGATTGTGCCGAACGGAGGTGCCCCAATGACTGCAACAATCGGGGACGCTGTGTTAACGGCCTCTGTGTGTGTGACGAGGCCTTCATTGGCGTGGACTGTGGTGAACTAAGGTGCCCCAATGACTGCAACAATCATGGCCGCTGTGTCAATGGGCAGTGTGTGTGTGACGAGGGGTACACAGGTGAGGACTGTGCAGAACGGAGGTGCCCCAACGATTGCCATAATCGCGGGCGCTGCGTCAACGGGACATGTGTGTGCAACAAAGGCTTTGTCGGCGATGACTGCGGAGAATTGGCCTGCGCAAACAACTGCAATGGCCGAGGCCTCTGTGTCAATGGGCAGTGTGTGTGTGACGAGGGCTTCACCGGTGTGGACTGCAGACAACGGCGGTGCCCCAAGGACTGCAACAACCGGGGGCGATGTGTCAATGGACAGTGTGTGTGCGACGAGGGATACCAAGGGATCGACTGTAGCGAACGGTCCTGCCCAAACAACTGCAATGACCTTGGCCGCTGCGTAGATGGGCAATGCATCTGTGACGAAGGCTACGTAGGTGACGACTGTTCTGATGGTAAGTTCCCTTGGGGATCCTCCCAGGATGATTATCACTCTCGGTAGATTACATGGAATGATTTTGTACCCGCTTTCAAACTCCCAGTTTACTATCAACATCTCTTTAAACTCCCGTACTTCCCATGCTTTACAAACTGTAAGAATCCCTCCCGAGCTAAAACTCAGGTGCCAGATAAAAAACTACTGTCCTCAGCCCTGTAACTAAAGCTTTTTATTGCCACCTGGCTGGATAAATGCATGACTCTGAACTGAGCTACGGGGTTAGCAACATCAGAGTCTTTCCCAATGGACCGGACTCTGTTGGATTGTAGTGGGGGAGTCAAAATGTTGCATTCTTTTCTATGTAAAATGTACTCCTTAGATACAGAAACTTGCCACATATTGTATAAAGGTTCCAGCCTAACTAGGGTTGCCAGCCCTCAGGTCCAGGTGGGGGTTCCCCCCACTTCTGGGGGCTTCAATCTGCCCCCGGCTAGCGGGGGAAGCCCCATCCCCACGAGCGCCCACCCGCCACCCCTCTCCCTCCCCTTTAAAGAGTCTTTTTGCAAGTGGTGTGGGGACTGTGGCACGTAGGGCTGATTTCCTCCAGCCCCACACACGGCAGCCCCCACCTCGCACGCTACTGCCCCTCTCCTTCCCTCTTGCTAGATCTCAAGGGCCCTCCAGCTGGTTGGCAGGCCACGTGGTCCCCGCCTATCAGCTGAAGCCCTTTAAATTGGGCAGGAGGGGAGGCAGAGGAGTGGCCGGGCGGGTGGTCACGAGTGGGGCATGGGGCATCCCCGCCCAGCCCCAGAATGCCCCCCAAATCCCCCCGTGGGAGCGACAAGGGGACCTGGCAACCCTAAGCCTAACTCCTATATTTTTATTTACCTGGAATATGTTATGAACATGGACAGGGCAAGGCAGGGACACCATCAGTGAGTGGCACAGTCCGGCACCTGTCAAGACTCATTGCTCAGTGACAGTCACTGACACTTCTCCTAGTAGTAGTTCTGCTGGCGGTAGGCGTCCTGTCAACAATAGCAAAGGAAACAGAGTGAAAAGGCCATGCTCTACTGCTTTCCCCAGGTGCCCCCGCTATTGGGTAGTTCCCCCTCTGGTGGAGCTCCAATGAGTTGGGGAGTGAATGAGGTTATGAAATAGGGGGAAGTCAAGGAAGACCCAAAATGGAGGGAGAAGAACAAGAGGGCCATGAAACTATATGGGGAAACTTTCAAAAACAGAATTCCCTGTGTACAGGCTGGAATGGTACAGCCCAGGAAGAAATCTATCACATGATATGGCTCAGCACGCAGGTCAGCCGTTAGAAAGGCACAGCATCGCCCAGTTTTCAGAACACACGTCTTTTGCTTCTCAGACATTTGATAGGGACTTTGCCTTCTTCTCCCTAAACTCTCTTGGCAGTATCTCCTCCGAAAGACCTGATGGTGACAGATGTAACAGACAAAACTGTCAACCTTGAATGGAAGAATGAAAATATAGTCACCGAATACCTCATCACCTACATTCCTACTGGCACTGGCGGCTTAGAACTGCAGTTCCGAGTACCCGGAAACCACTCGTCTGCCACCATTCGGGAACTGGAACCCGGTGTGGAATATTTCATCCGTGTGTTTGCCATCCTAAAGAACAAGAAAAGCATCCCAGTCAGTGCCCGGGTTGCCACATGTGAGTATATTAAATTTTACGGAGCCTGTGATCAGATGAATCTGGAATTTAAGAGCTTCAGAATATGAATTCCTCACTTTAGAAGAAGAAGAGGAGATTGGATTTATACCCCGCCCTTCACTTCCTGAAGGAGTCTCAGGGCAGGTTAAAATCTCCTTTCCCTTCCCCTTCCCCTCCCCACAACCCCTATGAGGTAGGTGGAGCTGAGAGAGCTCTTTTGAGAACTGCCCTTGAGAGAACAGCTCTGAAAGAACTTGTAACTGACCCAAAGTCATACCAGCAGCTGTATGCGGAGGAGGGGGGACTCAAACCTGGTTCTCCCATATTAGAGTCTGCGCTCCTAACCTCTACACCAAAACTGGCTCTCTGAAAAGCTTTAGAAAGCCTTGCACCATTAAAAACTAGGCTCAGACTCTTCTAAATGTTGGCATGTCTTATAATGGGGGCTGCCTCTGCAGCTAGTTAGCCCTGCCTGCTACTCTTCCCCTTTTCCATGCCAAAAAATCCCCCCAAAATAACTTACTGTTGTGAAGGGTAAGCAGTGGTAGTGAGTGAGTGCTTGGTAGAGTCAGGAGAGGCCCGGCCAAGACTCTCCTTAATCGGAAATGATTCAGAAGCATTATCCCCAAATTTGGTGCAATTGGCTTCATGGTGTTGTCACAAGGGCAGACCAGAAAAAGTATAACACTTCCTGTCCTCACTCCCGTCTTGTGTTGTGCTGCCAGCGGAAAACAAAATGATGCCAAACAGCAGCAGCAAACTGGAAAACGGGCAAATATTTCAGGCCTCTTAACAACCGCACCCAGAATAATCACTGAAACTGCTGCAGGAAAGCTCTTCACAGCCTGCACATAGAGCAGCACAGCTCAGAGGGGGCAATTTCACCTCAAACCTAGGGCAGGCATGAGAGGTGGGGGATTACATAGATGCATGTTGTTTCCCTCAGGTCAGGTTTCTTTTTAGTCTCCACATTTAAAAAAAAAAAATTGACTTGCAAGTAATGTGCCTGTTCATAATTATGTGTTTTTTTGTAATTTATTTCCTCTTCTCTCCCAAATTGTTTGAATGTGGAGTATATGCACTTCTTTTGTTACAGCATCACAGGGATGCCTGGCATGGAAACAGAATTAATTGAGGTCTGTGTAGAAGTCTGTGCCTCATCGTCCCGCTTTTTGCTTTCCAGACTTGCCTGCCCCGGATGGCTTAAAGTTCAAGTCAGTTAAAGAGACTTCTGTGGAGGTGGAGTGGGACCCCCTGGACATCCCCTTCAGCGGGTGGGAAATTGTCTTTAACAGCTTGGTAAGGAAGGAATTCAAATTCCCATGACTTCGACTCCAAGAATCCTGGATTCTCCCCCCCCCCCGGTTTTTATCAAATCCCAACTCTTTGACCCTTGCCTTTCAGAAAGAGGAAGACAACGGAGGAATAAGAAGCAGCCTAAAGAGGCCGCAAACGTCATACTTGCAACCAGGTCTGGCTCCAGGACAACAATATAACGTGTCCCTTTATATTGTGAAGAATCAGACCAGAGGACCTGGCCTCTCTAAGGTGGTAACCACAAGTAAGTGGCCATCTAGCGATGTTGATAGAAAGCCAAGAAAAACAGAGACCTGGTGTTTATAGGAGCCATAAATAAAACCCCTGTGTGATGAGAAGCATATGGGTGACTGTAGCCACTCACTGTTCTAATAGTCACATGGGCAAAGCCTCCTTGGCAGTCTTCTTTCAGTGGCACTACCCACTCACAAACCCTTGGGTGGCATCCAGCTTCAGCTAGCAGCAGCGGGGAAGGTCCAGGGCATTGCACCAAAAAAAAGAAAAAGAAAAATACAGCGATTTCCTTCTTCCCCTTTGCTGCAGCAAGAAGAAGACAGCCACAGGTAGAAGCTGAGCAGCTCTCCATGGATGGAGACTCAGTAGCTGTTGCAGGCTAGTGGAGGATCCCAAGCAGCAGTGACCTATTTAGGGTCACTGTGAGCTTTCTTGCCTGGAGCTGGATGGCCCAAGCTAGCTAGATCTGGTCAGGTCTCAGAAGCTCAGAAGAAACACTAAGGTTGCCAACCTCCAGGTAGTGGCTGGAGATCGCCCGCTATTACAACTGATCTCCAGGCAGCTGAGATATTGTTCACCTGGAGAAAATGGTCACTTTGGAAGTTGGACTCTATGGCATTATGCCCCAAACCCCACCCCCCTGAGGCTCCACCCCCAAAATCTCCAGGTCTTTCCCAATACGGAACTAGCAACCCTACTTTACATGCATACCTAAGATTTCCTATTTCAGTACCTCCATTATTGTCACAAGGGGACAAAGGTTACTAAAAAACTGAGATGGCTTTTAGTTAGGGTTTCTCCCCCCCTCCCCCAGCAAAAGTGGTAGTTGCCCAGCATGGAGATAATTGTAAAAGTTTCTATTGTGAGGAATGGTTTAAACAAGAAATGAAGGCCAAGGCTACCTGGAGGCCACTTGTCTAATCTCATCTCTCCCCCAAGGAGCTCAGCACGGCACACATGGCGGTTCCCTCCTCTGTTTTAGCCTCACAACACCCCTGTGAGGAAGGTTAGACTGAAGAGAGGTAAGGACCCAAGGTTATCCACTGAGCTTCCTGGCCGAGTAAAGACTTGAACCTGAGTCTTTCCCATCTGGCGGACAAAAAAGATGTGATGCTGGGAGAAGATATGATTCTGACTTTTAATACTTTGAGACTAGAAACTGAACTTTTTCATTCTAAGTAGCCCTGGAAGAATTCCAAGGAGAGTTGAAACTCACTCAAGAGTTCTTCTGTTTGAAACTTAAATGGGTTGATTTCTGTGTTTTGTTTTGTTGCATCTGCGTGGTATGTATTGGAGATGAGCCTTTTTGTACCTGCAGGAAACTTGTTTGTCTCCTGTTTCTTTGTTCTGGCTAGCAAGTTGGATCTCCCAATACAGTAAATGCTGTGAAACTTGGGAGCAATGGCACTCCGATGCATGCTAACCTTGGAGTAAGCCCACTGAATAAGTGTGACCTCTGAGTAAATATGCATGGTTCAAGCGGAAGGAGAGGGAAGGAAAAGTGCCCCAAGGCCTTAGCACTACGAGCTGAGTTTAGACTTCATTCCAAGGAAAGTTGTGGAGAGTTTGCTTGTCTCTAGCTGGGAGCTTTATGTTTAGAGCTTCAAAAAAATTCTTTTTAAAAAAATAATAGCAGATACATGGGAACCTGATAGGGATGGAACCTCGGGAGGAGGAGGGCTGAAGCCTACCTCTTCCTGCCCTTTTCCTGAGCTGAAATGTTCCCACGAAGCTTCCATTTGCCCTGTTATCCTCTGGACAATGCTTGGATGTTGTCCAGCGGGGCAAATCACCTAAGTAGCATAGAAATCTATTTTAATACCCCTCGAAATGGCTGTTGATGACGGGAAGTCCTGTCGCTTGCCTTTTTTTAAATGCCTGCTTTGTATCTTTCTTTCTTCCCCCAGGACTTGATGCCCCCAGCCAAATTGAGGTGAAGGACGTTACAGACACCACAGCGCTGATCACCTGGTTTAAACCCTTTGCCGAAATCGATGGCATTGAGCTCACCTTTGGGCCCAAGGAGGTCCCTGGGGACCGAACATCCATCGACCTCTCAGAGGATGAAAGTCAATACTCCATCGGCAATCTGAAACCACACACTGAATATGAGGTGACGCTCGTGTCCCGGCGTGGGGATATGGAGAGTGACCCCGTGACGGAGAGCTTCACCACAGGTAAAATGGCGTCTTCCTTTCTAACTTTGGGGGGAACACAGGAAGCCGCGTGGCACTGCATCGGACCATTGGTCCGTCTAGCTCAGTACTATGGTCAACAGCAGCTCTCCAAGTTCTCAGGTGGGGAAAAAGTCATCTCCAACATTTGTTTCCTGAAATCCTTTAAATGAAGATGCCAGGGTTGGACTGTGAGGCCTTTGGCAAGTAATGCATGCACTGTACCACCAAATCTTCCCCCCTCTATGACGTGAAACCATTCCCCATCAACTTTTCTGCCAAGATACCCTTAATGTACCTGCCACAGCAATTCAGTGTTTTTTGGTGCATGTTAAATTCACAGACTACTTCTGTTAGCGATCACCATTGCTTTGCATGAACCATCACAGTGCGCACCCAACAAGCCTCTGTGGCTGTGCAGTGCAGGTCAATATCAGGGGTGATGGACAAGAAGTATTTCAGATGTTTCATTAAGGAAACCCAGATGCATTTCTGTGGGGTGTGAAGGTGCTCTGCACTACAACATGGAAAAAACCCTACCTTTTATATAAAATGAATTTATCATGGTGGTGACTAGAACTCTAAAAGTCATTTACAGTACAGTCCTACACAGAGATGCACCCTTCTAAGTTTACTGAAGTGATTGACAGCAGAGGAGAGGACTCGCAATAATGGGTTTAAAGGGCGGGAAGGTACCAGCTGGATATTAGAAAAAACTTTTTGACAGGAAGAGAGGTGCAACAGTGGAACCGGCTGCCTAGGGAGGTGGTGAGCTCCCTCTCCCTGGCAGTCTTTAAGCAGCGGCTGGACAAACACTTTCAGGGATTCTCTGGGCTGATCCTGCATTGAGCAGGAGGATGGACTAGATGGCCTGTATGGCCCCTTCCAACTCTGTGATTCTAGGATTCTATGAATGGACTTAGAAGGTTGTAAATCTGTTCAGTACTGCACTGATAACCAAACCCCCTGCCTGCCTGCCTGCCTGCCTGCCTGCCTGTGTGTGTGGCTGTTAAGTGCAGTCAAGACACTTCCAACCTATGGCGACCCTAGGAATTAATGACCTCCAAAATGTCGTGTCATTAGCAGCCTAACTCGGGTCTTACAAACGGAGGGGCTTGGCTTCCTTGATTGAGTCAATCCATCTCATGTTGACTCTTTTCCTGCTGCCCAATTTTTCCTAGCATTATTGTCTTTTCCAGTGATTCTTGTCTTCTCATAATGTGACCAAAGTACAATAACCTCAGTTTGGTCTTTTTTTAACTTCTGGAGTGAGTTCAGACTTGATTTTATCTAGGACCTACTTATTTGTCTTTTTGGCCGTCCACGGTATCCATAAAGCTCTCCTCCAACACCAATTTCAGTTGCCCGTATGAGGGGCCAAAGCTCAGTAGTAAAGTACATGCTTGGCATCCAGAATGTCCCAGGTTTGGTCTGTAGCATCTCCAGCTGAAGGGGAAGGTGTGGGGAAGGCATTTCTCTGGAAAGCTGCTGCTAGTCAGATTAGACAACAGTAAGCAAGAAAAAACAGAGTGTCTGGCTCAATATGAAGCAGTTTTATAGGTCTTCAGATCTTGGCTCTCAGGAAAAGAAATAATCTTCATCTCCCCCAGATCTGGATGCTCCAAAAAATCTGAAGCGCCTCTCTCAGACAGACAGCACCATCACCCTGGAGTGGAAGAACAGCCAAGCTACCCCTGAAGTTTACCGGATCAAGTACGCACCCATTTCTGGTGGAGATCATGCTGAAATCACAGTGCCCAGAAGCAACCAAGCCACAACCAAAGCTACCCTCACTGGTAGGTCTTCTGAAAGTTCTGGGCAGTTAATGCTAAAGTCACATATCGCTTGATCTATGTAAGAGTCACAGTCAGACTACCTTAGTTCTTTCTAGGGAGGCCTATTCAATGAGAAATTTACTGTTCCTAATAAGGATAAGGCGGTAAGATCCCTGCCTGAGATTCTGTACACATTTAGGTGTTGTTTTCTTTTTATTTAGGATTGCGGCCTGGAACAGAATATGGCATTGGCGTGACAGCAGTGAAGCAGGACCGAGAGAGTGCTCCCGCCACCATTAATGCTGCAACTGGTAAGGGAGAAAACAAACCAGCCCTTCTCTTCATTAGAACAGGGGGAAGATTAACCACAACCACTGGCGTGAGCATAGCAGGAACTACTGGAAATGGTGTCTCAAAAATGTGACATGTAAAGTCACTACCACCACGCCAAGAAGAAATGACTGAGCATGTTACCAGGGGCATAGAAGACTGATAAGAACAGAGGAAAATGAAACAGAGGGAGATGGAAGAAACTGGGAAAGATTTCCCAGTCAGTTAACTCTCCCTGCACAACGCCCAGCAATTCCTCACATGTCCCAAGTTCGTGTAATTTCTAATAGTGAAGTGGGCAAGTCATGCCAGTCATGAGAGCAGCAAAACCAGGTCCCCCAAAGAAAAGGGAGGGGTTTAACGCCCTCCTTGGACCCCCCCCCCCCCGCCAGGATGCAAAAACATCTAGTTTGTAGTCCAGGGCTCTTTTTGTAGCAGGGACTCCTTTGCATATTAGGCGACACACCCCTAATGTAGCCAATCCTCCAAGAGCTTACAGAGCTCTTCCTACAGGGGCTACTGTAAGCTCTTGGAGGATATGCAAAGGGGTTCCTGCTACAAAAAGAGTGATGTGTAGGGTTGCCAGATCTGGGTTGGGAAATTCCTGGAGATTTGGGGGTGGAGAGCTCCCACTATTACAAGCGATCTCCAGAGGGCAGAGATCAGTTCACCTGAAGAAAATGGCCGTCTGGCATTGTACCCCACTGAAGTCCCTCCCCTCCCCACACCCTGCCCTCCTCAGGCTCCACCCCCCCCCCAAATCTCCAAGTATTTCCCAACCCGGAGCTGGCCACTCTAGGGTGGAGCCTTAGGAAGGTTGAGTTTGGGGCAGGGGGAGACTTCAGTGGGGTACAATGCCATAGAGTCCACCTTCCAAAGCAGCCATTTCATCCAGGAGAATCGACCTCTATAACCTGGAGGCAGGTTGTAATTCCAGGAGATCTCTAGCCACCGCTTGGAAACTGGCAACCCTATGAGTACTGAACATGATGAGCTCCTGAAGGCTCTGAATATTTAGACAGGAGGAAATTGGTCTGCTCTACCCCCCCCCCCCCAAGAACTTGTAGTTTCTTGAAGAACTGGGTGTGTGATGGGAGGGAAATTTTTACAAATCTTTGTGGGATGGTAGGGAGCAGGGGTCATTTTGTAGAAAAAGAGGTGCAGGAGCTCATTAGCATAACTCATTTGCATATGCCACACCCCCTGACATCACCGGAAGTGTGTCAGAAGGCAACACCCACCACTCAGGCTCCACTGGACTGTTTTGGATTGCTAGGTATTTGGGGGG